TCGCCCACAGAGCGAGAGCGAATGTGGGACACAGGGCCTCGGAGCTGGGTGCGCAAGGAGGGAGAGAGAGAGTTTGGGGAGCAGTCGGAGAGAAACAGACACCAGAGCGTCTTGAAAAATCCAGACGGAGCCGAAGGGGGGTGGGGAGTAGAGAGCAAGAGGGTGAGAGGACATCTCCCTCCCTCTCTCTGTCTGTCACACGCACACACGGCTGTGCAGTCACATCTGGGTGGGAAAACCCCCTAATGCGGGAACACACACAGTTAAGCCAAAGCTCAGAGGCAGAGACACACTGACAAAGAAAGGAGAACAAAGAGAGAAAAGGAGAAAGCGCGTGTGGCAGGGAGACGTGGCAGACACACCCAGCGCCAGCGGCCACGCTAGGCTGAAGTCACCGGGAAGCACGGCCCCGGGAGAGGAGTTTGGAAAGAGAAAACCGACATGGGGGCCGAGTGAGGACGGCCACAGAGAAGGGTCCGCGCGGGCAGACGGGGCCCCGGGCCGCTGGGCTGTGGGTGTCAGTCAGAGCGACCGGGAGGAACGTCCGAATGTTCTGGAGGCCCAGCCCCCGCCGGACGCCGGCAATGGTGAGGGAGTCAGGAAGGGACCGCATGCCACACACACACCACACACACACATCCTGCACACACCACACACACACCACACGCATGTACCATACGCATCACACACACGTACCACACCATACACATGTACCACATACACACACCACACACGTGTACTACACACATGTACCATACACATACTACACACACCACACACACCACCCCTCACACCACATACACCACACACATGTACTACACACACCACACACATGTACCACACACACCACATACACACCACACACACACCACACACACCACCCTTCACACACACCACACACCATAGCCCCCACATACACCGCACACAACATACATGCCACACACAACACACATACGCCATATATACCATACCACATGCACACCACACATATCACATGTATAACACACATGTCACACACACAACATACCATGCGTACCACACACACCACAAAATATATCACACACCACATACACACCACAACACACACAACACATATGCTATACACACACTATACTACACACGCACCACACAAACGCTACACGCACCCCATCCACACCATACATGCCGCACACACAGCGCACACATAGCACACGCACGTGCACACCTAGACAAAGGTAGGAAGCCCAGAGAGAAGAGGAGAGGAGTGAGATGGGAGATAAACACAGGAAAAACAGGAGCCTTCCATGCGCCTCTCCCGCCCTCTCGCAGTGTGTGTCCGGATGTCTGTCTGTCTCCGTCTGGCTTTCTCACGCACGATCACAGGCCCAGGAGAGAGGCTGTGACGACGTGATGGCTCTGCCGCCTCCCCCCTTCCTGGCCCATGTCCTCTGCCCCCTCCTTCACCTGGTGCCCCTCGCCCCTGGGCCTCGCTCAGCTCTGTCTCCTGGGGGAGCCGTCGGACACTCAGGACCCCACCCCAACTCTCCAGGGACCATCTGTTCTGCTCATCTGTCCCAGACAGGACACCCCTCACCGCTGAACCGCCGACCCCAACCAGACCCGGACGTACAGCAGTGGCTCAGTGGGAAGACGGACAGACGGACACGCAGGCAGAGCTAAGCAGGGAGACCCAGATCCAGGATCCCGTGGGTCACACTGTGAGGGAAGCGCAGGTCTGGGCACTGGGTGGGGAAGGGCCGGGTGTGGAGGGCCGGGGACAGCGAGGACTGGGGGAGTGACAGACAGACGGACAGAGCTCCACCTCTCCCCACCGCCTGCACCACCTCGCCCCCCCAGACCCGTCTGCCTGGCTGCTCCCATCTCTGTCTCTGTGTTTCTGTATCTGTTAGCCTCTCTTTTTCTCTCTGCAAACCACAGCTTTTCTGGAGCCCGTAAGGGAAAAATTAAAGGTGAGATGAGAGAAAATGCAGACGACGGACCTCGCGCGCACGTGTGTGTTTGTGTGTGCACACACCTTCAGCACAGGGTCTGGCTGGAATTTCGTGGGAGGGAAGGGTGTGAAAGGAGCAGAGGACGAATGGAGAGAATGAAGGCAGCACGGGCCACAGCCTGGGAGGCAGCAGGGAGCAGGGACACGCACGTGCCCCATGCACCGCACGCGCGCGCACGCACACCGCACACACCACACGCACTGGCAATGCGGCAGTGTGAGAAGGCTAGCAAAACCACGGAGGACGGAGGCAGGGAGGGGCTGAGCAAGACGGACCGGCACACGACGCCTGACACAGACACACAGGCAAGCACGCGTGCTCGCACACCCCACGGGCCCGGCAGCAGCGGGCCCAGGGCGAATCTTCAATACGAGCTTTGACGCACGAATGTATGAAAGCGTGAACAGCCAGCGGCCCACAGTGAGAGCCAGTGAAAGGGAGCCAGGGGACGGACGGACACACTCTGAGACGGACAGAGACAAGGAGACACAGAGGCCGATGGGCAGAGAACCCACGACAGGCCTAGAAGGACACACAGACCCACACCCCACCCTTGCGAGGTGGGAGGGAAGGGGAGGGGCACAGACTATGGTCTTTTTGCGTGTGTGCTTTTTTGGATCTCTCCTGCTCTGCTATCAGGAATATATATTATTTTTTTCCATGAGGGAAAACATCTCATTTTCCTCAAAGAAAATAATGTATTCAGAGTAAGAGAAACCCCACTGGGGTCAGGAAGGGAAGGTGGAGAGGCCTCGAGGTCCCAGGGTCTCCAGGCCCCGGAAGGGGCTAGAATCAGGACAGGGCTGCAGAAGGAGATGCAGGGAGAGGGGCTGAGGGACGGTGGTCCCCTGGACCGCCCGCCTCTCACCTCTCCACAACATCTCTCTCACAACAAGTCGAGCAAGAGCAAACTGGACAGAGGCCCAGAGTGAGGGAGTCAAAACCAGAGAAAGAGCTGGAGACACGACCTGGGAGAGATGGAGTCAGCGTTCTTGCCTCCCTTTCCTGACTAGACACGTGGGCCAGGTCCGGGCGCATCAGCTAGGACTCCCCCAGTCCCTCAAGCTCTTGTGCCAGAAGGTGAGCTGTGTGAACTGGCACAACCACCCTTGCGAGTTTCAGGGGGTCAGGAAAGCGCCCAGAGGGGTCCGTGGCCTCTGAGATGTGTTTTGAAGGATGAGTAGGAGTTTGCCAGGTTGCAGAGAGAAAAGCAAGGGCGTTCTCCATCGTGGAAAGGGCTTGGGCAAAGACATGGGGTGAGGGAGGGCCTGAGCAAGAGTTAGAAGTCAGAGAGATGGATAAGCAAGAAAATCTGAGACAGAGAAACTGGAGAGAGATAGCAGCCAGGCACAGAGAAAAAGAGAAACCAGCGACAGCCTGAAACACAGAGACACATGTAGAAACAGAGACAGAAAATCAGAAGCACACAGAGACACACTGAGAACCATGGAGAAGTGTTGGGTGGGGAATAGGAAGAAAAGAATTGTTGAGACACAGAGCCAGAGGCAGGGGATAGAGAGACAGAGACGGAGAGGCACAGAGGGAGCGAGACACAGAGAAACACAGAAACACAGAGCAAGACAGGCGCAGAGAAAGGGGGCTCAGAGCCTTTCCCGCGCCCACCCTGGGAACTACGTGGTTCTCGACCGCCCCCAGCACTGCCCGAGTGTACTCCCTAACCTGCTGCACAGGGGAGCACTCTGTCCCCTTCCCTGTCGGGGATGGAGCACATCCCTGGCCGCCTGGCACACATTTCTGAGCTCCCCAGACCCACCCGGGCACACTTGGGCTCTGCTGGGAGTGGCCAGTGCCGCGTGTGCCCGCTGAGCCCACAGAACCCAGCTGTACACTGGCCCCGGAGCCCGAACCTCAGGCACCAACCATTGCACGTGTCTGTGCAACACACGCAAATCCTTACACTCTGATGTGGAGAAAACAGACTCACTGGCTTCATACCCCATTGGTACCCATATACACCCCGGGAACTCACAGGCTGGCACACAACCCAGATGTGTGTGTATACAGATGCACACAGCCCTGGACAAACACATGTCCAACCTCCTGGTCACAGGCCCATGTGAACATAAAGGTTCATACTCCCAGGAGCCCAGATTCACAGACCACCTGGACACACATCCATACGCACACACAGCTGCCCGGGAGCAAACTGGCTCCCACACACACACCCACACGAACACAAAGGCACACAATCCCAGGAGCAAACAGAAGGAAGGCACAGGCACAAACACATCCCTGCTCCTGCGTGCGCACACCCGCAGCATGTCCAGGGGTCCAGTCTGAGCTGCGTACTACAGCGTTTGGCTGCTGGAAATACTACTGCAGAGAGAAATGTCCTAATTTTGAAATTTGTTTTTAATCAGGCTGCTATGACGGCCAGAGGTGACACACAGATACATGTGCGAGCTGATGTAAAATAAATTTCTTCGTAAGACTGTTGCAAATGAATTGCCCCAGTTGTGTCCCTTTAGTGGTGGGGGAAAAGGGAGGAGAGGAAAGGTCTTTGGATTTTTCTCCAGAGTACCCGAGACTTTTGAGGAGTGCCTGGGACTTTTGTGGAGTATCGAGCCCCAGCGCAGGACTCCTGTGGAACAACACAGCACACACAGAGCCACATCTCCCCTTAAGCACATCTGCATCCCCACCCAGCTCCGACAGCCCCACCAGGCCCCCGGCCCCCAGCCCCATCCGTCAGGGGTATCTGTGCCCTGGTCACACTTTGGGAGTCGTGGCTTCCCCGGTGCGTCCCAGACACAAGCAGAACCCCTGACAGATGCGCTCACTCCGAAAACACGGGCGCAGGTGCACACACACGGCCGCATGCCCAGGTGGCTGTCTCCAATCTGATCACGTCTCCCCCTGCCCTGACGCCCTCTACCTGCCACTGGTGCGGCTCGAATAAAGGCTCCTCTGACTAGCCTGGCCTCATAGCTCACCCCTCTCATTCTCCAGCACGTAGCACATGCCCAGTAAACCACAGGCCACGCTTTGAGGTCTGTTTGTGTTTAATCAGACAATATGCAAAGTATGTACAACCAATTTCTGGATCCCTCCCCTCCCCCCCAAGCCTGGGCCATGGAATGCGGGACCCCCAGGCCCTGCCCAGAGCTGGGGGTCTCCTAGGCCTCTGCATAGTCATCTGAAATCTACAAAACACTGTTTATTAAAAAAAAAAAAAAAAAAGACAGTATTAGGACACCTTATACAAAGGGCCCCAGGCAGCTGTAAGGGGACTTGAGTGCGCCTGGGTAAGCAAGCCCAGATTTGACCGGGACGGACAGCAGACTTGCGTCATAAACATGTAGGAAAGGAAAAGTTGAAATCTCATAGGCAGGCACCACGTGGCCTCCCTTCCCGCTGGCAGGGCCTGGCTGGCTCGAGAGCCCCTGGCAGCGGGAACGTTATTGCTGTGATGGGGGCTGTGGGTGAAATGTACAACATGTCTGGGGAACAGAGCGGGGGGAGGTGCATTTTTACATGTTAAATATGGACACACACGTGCACACACATGACACACATACACACACAGGGGGCCCTTGGCAAGATGCCCACAAACTGTCAGCCACCCCTTTTAAGATGGGGCACCCTGAGGCCCGGGAAGGAGCCAGCACACACCCCAAGGCCCAACATCAGAGCTAGCGCCAGTCTCCTGCTGCCCCGGGCTGGGCTCCCCAGGGTTACGCCAGGCAGCAGGGTCTGGGGCAGAGAAGTTGCAGAGGCCACGGCCACGCATGGAGGCAGATGCTGCAGCCCAGACGGGAAGGAGGGGCCACCCGAGGTCACACAGCCAGGCCTGGTGCACGGCAGTGGACACTTGAACTTGATACCCACCCTCCAGCATAGGAACGCCTTTCCCTACTCACGGGTTCAGGGGTGCTAAGTGAAGGAGGAGAGCAGGGGCACTGAAATGACACAGGACAAACAGGGGGGAAGGAGAACCTGGGGTTCCCACCTGAGGCCAGGGCCGCCCAACCACGTGGATCTTCTACTTCGGCTTGGTTGCCTCCAGAGCCTGGGAGCTCACTCTTTCATGGCTGGCTAGCTCCAAGGATGAAAAAAACCACTCACGTTCTGATCAACATCTACTCCCCGACACTGGCGTCATCACCCCTCATTCGGCCGCACCTTACGTCCATCTCCAGTCCCTCCCCCCACAACAGCCCCGCCAGTCAGGCAGTGGAGGTGGGGCTCTGTTATCTCGAACTCGGCCTCAGGCCCCTGGCCCCCTGGGCTGCCCCAGTCTGTCTGTGGTGCCTCCAAGGACAATCTTGTTGGTTCCTGAGGAAGACAGAGGGAGCACCGGGTTCCAAACCCACCTCAGCCCTGAACTGTTCCTTGGCCGTGGGGCAAGTCACATCCCCTCCCTGGACAGTTTCCCCACCGGTACTATGAGGACATGGAATTGGTGATCTCAAAGGGTCCCTTGGGTCTCAGAACAGGACTGGAGAGGGGGTGCTCACTCCACCCACCATCAAGTCAAGCTAGGCCTCAGCTGCCCAGCCTGGGAGCCACGGCAGAGGGTCTGGACCCGGCAGCTTCCACCAGCAGGTGTTTCAGAAATGGACGGCAAAGGGCAGGGTGGTGGGCAGGCCGAGGCCAGGTGCCCATCACTCCTCTTTGGAAAGGCTCTTCGGCCAGCTCTGGAGGCAGACGTGGGGCGACGTGGGAGTGTTAAGGAGTCAACGCGAGGAGCAGACCGAGGCTGGGAAAGGGCGCCCTCAGCCCGTCCTTCCTCCCGGCTCCTCCCGCAGAGGCACACAGAGCTCCAGGAGGGAAGGTAGGGAGGGCACATGTGGCTGGAGCAGGTGCTGGGATGCAGTCACTGTGCCAGCCTTAAGCCCTGTCCTCAAGGCTGCCCCAGGCCCCAGGCCCTTCCGTGCCACAAAAGAGGGAGGGGCCTCATCACTGGCAATTCCGCCCCCCAGAGGGGATCGATGCGGGCAGGCAGAGGGTGGCAAGACCCTCCATCAGAGGCCGCCCGGCCCAGGATCCAAGCCAAGAAGCCAGTCTGGCCCCATGGCGTGTGCTCCCTATAGGTTCTCCCCAGGCTGGTACTGGGGCTCGGTGGACGTGAAGTAGTCCTCCAGGAAGGCCTGCAGGTACTCGAAGGTGGGCCGCTCCTCTGGTTCCTTCCGCCAGCACTGGCACATGAGGTCATGCAGGGACTCGGGACACTCGGGCGGACAGGGCATCCGGTAGCCCCGCTCCACCTGGTCCAGCACCTCACGGTTGACCATCCCTGTGGGTAGAGGGAGGTGTGAGGAGGCTGGCTCGGGTGAGGAAAGTGGGGCAGGGGGGCAGATGGTGATGGGGACAATGGACAGGGACTCCTGCCCAGGACAGAGTGGGTGTGACCATGTGTGAGTCGCCACCTCCCTGAGGCTGAGAGCCCTGATCAGAGAGATTCTAAGATCAGATGCTCAACCTCTTGGTTCTACAGCTGGGGAAACTGAGGCCTGGGAAGGGGTATGACTTGCCCAAGGTCACCAGGGCAGAGGGGTTCAGGGACCAAAGACGGGCCTGAGGAGCCCTCTTACCGGGGTAGGGCACCCGTCCCTTTGTTGTGAGCTCCGTCAGCAAGATCCCAAAGGACCACACATCTGACTTGATGGTGAACCGGCCATAGAGGGCGGCTTCCGGAGCCGTCCACTTGATGGGGAATTTGGCACCTGCAGTAGGGAGGAAGTTCAGGGGAGGCGGAGCAGAGTGTCATGACGGCGCCACCAGGAGGTACCACTCTCGTCCCCACCGGACAGACGCAGAAACAGGCCTGCAGAAGGTCCTCTGGCACCGACCCAGGCCCTGCCCACCTTGCCGGGCGGTGTACTCATTGTCTTCAATGAGCCGAGCCAGCCCGAAGTCAGCCACTTTGCACACGAGGTTCTCCCCAACCAGAATGTTGGCGGCACGGAGGTCCCGGTGGACGTAGTTCATCCGCTCCACGTAGGCCATGCCCGAGGCGATCTGCGGGCAGAGGACCCAAGGAACCCGGCTCAGGGACCGCCCCGTGCCCCTTTCCGGACCGCGAGTCATGTGGCCAGGGGTGGAGAGCCAGTCAACTGCCCTGCCCTTCCCGGTCCTCAGGCAAGGGAGGTCAGCTTACAGTAAAGCCGTTGGCGCGGAAGCAGGAAGTGCAGCGGGGAGAGGGGACACGGGATGAAGGGTGAGGGCAGGGGGGAAGCACAAGACACCACCCAGGAAGCAGGGCAACGCTGAAGAGGCAGGTGCCAGGTGCCCCACAGATGCAAAGGAGTGCCAGGTCCTGCCTGCTGCCCCCAGGCCCCTCTCTGAACCTCAGTTTTCTCATGTGTCAAATGGAATGAGGGCCATCCCCACCTCCCCCGATAGTGATAAGGATTCATGAATGACTGTTGAGCACCACCCACAGCAAGCAAGTATTAATGTATGTTTGTTGAGTGACTGAGGAACCTTTAAAGAGAAGAAAACCGTGGCCTGAGGCCCCAGAGGCGTCACTGACTCCTCATGCCCAGCTAAGGGTTCTTTTAAACTCTGCCCAGAGCTACCACCACTCACAGCACCTATAAACGGTCTCTGTGATAAAAGTGGTGAGATCAGAGAGTGTGGGTGGCAATCAAGGCAGGCTGCCTGGAGGGGGCCCTCAGCAGGCCAGAACTGGCTGAGCTAAGTGGGTCTGAGTACTCTAGGGCCAAGGCTGTGGGCAGTATGAGGGGCAGACTCACCTGGGCGGCCATGTCCACCAGCTGCGGCAGCCGCAGGTACTTGCCTGTCTCCCCCTTGAGAAAGTCCAGCAAACTCCCTGGACAGAGAGAAAGAAAGCAGCCCTGTGTTCCCTGCGCCAGGAAGCAGCGACCCCCACACATCCCACCCGCCTCGCCGGCCAGCCCTGCTTCAAGTGGCACAGCAGATTTCCCATAAGCCCATCTCTGAACAGAGCCCCGCTCGGCATTTGTCACTCAGAGGGCAAAGCAGGATGTCAGACAACCAGATGTCGACCTCCAAGGGAACAGAAGCTGTGGCCCATCCCTGTGCCGCACTACTATACCCAGCAATAAAAGGGGAAAAACTACTGATACCCATGACAAGGGCGAACCTCAGATGTAGAAGGTAACATATGTGAAACTCTAGAATAAACAAAGCTATGAGGACAGAGGGCATATCAGTTACTGCCTGGGTTTGGGGCTGGAGGGTACTGTCTGCCAAGGGAAACCAGGGGGCTTTCTGGGGTGATGGGGTCTCCTGCATCTTCACTGTGGTAAAGGGTACACAGAGTGTCCATTTGATCAAACTCACAGAACTGGACACTTAAACAGGGTGTATTTTGTCCTTTGTAAATGACACCTCCAAAAAGCAGAATTTTGAATAATTGATTTAACATTTAAGTAAAGGTCAAGCCAGGGGCTTGACCTAGAAGTGGCTCCGCTTGGAGGATTGGGGGACTTCTCTTTCAGCCACATAATGGCAAATGGCTTTAGAAAACCAGCAAGCTGGGGGAGACAAGATGCACTGCGGGAAATCATTAAAAACAAGATGAGAAAGGCAACCTTTGGTCTGACTTTCCACTGACGTGACAAGTTGGTTCTAGTCCATTCCACCTTTTAAAATGTACACTCTAGGGGCGCCTGGGTGCCTCAATCGGTTGAGCATCAGACTCTTGATTTCAGCTCAGGTCATGATCCCAGGGTCGTGGGATCGAGCTCCGTGCTGAGCATGGAGCCTAAGATTCTACCCCACCCCCCACCCCTCTGCCCCTCTCCCCAGCTTGTATTCTCTAAGAAATAAAAAAAAATAAAAAATAGAATAGAATAGAATAGAATAAATAAAATAAAATAAAATAAAATATTAAAATACAATACAATAAAATATACACTCTAGATCTGGGGGGAAGTGAATTGTGTCCCCTCCTGCCCAGCAAGGGACTGGGGCACGTCTCTGTGCCAGTCGCTCAGGCCTCACCCTTGCTCATGTACTCCGTGACGATGTAGATGGGCTCCTCAGACACCACCGCATACAGCTGCACCAGTTTCTCGTGCCTCAGTTTCTTCATGACCTGGGCCTCCTGCAGGAAGGCCTCTGGAGACATTGTACCTGGCTTCAGCGTTTTGATGGCCACCCTGGTGGTTCCGTTCCAGGTCCCTGTATGGGGAGGGGTGCAGGCTGCCTCAGCGAAGCCCACCCCCCCATTCCTGTGCCACGGGGACCCAGGATCCGCCTGCCCGGTAACCAGTTTCAACTCTGGCCTCCCCAGCCATGTGACAAGCCCGGCCAAGGTCTGGCCCCTTTCTGAGCCCTCAATGTCCCCGCCCATAAAATGGGCACAATGATTGATAGGACACTCCTCGGAGGGCTACTGCAAGAATTAAATGAGTCTCTGGTACGTGCTCAAGAAACAGTGCCCATGTTGGGATGTGGCTGTTAGGACTGTCCCAAGAAGCAGCACATTCGCCTAAGAGAACGAAGACCATGGCTCCGACTCGACCATTCTCCCCTGAGGGACCCCGCTTCTTCAGGTAGCACGTGAGTCAGGCATTAGCAAATAAACAGGGCTGGGGTGAAGCAGAGCCGGACTATCTCAAGCTTGCTCTTGAAAAAGGAAGGCCTGGACTACGCACGAGGGCTTGGAGGTCAGACTGGCCAGGGCTGGACGCCCATCTCTGCCACCCCAACAGCAGTGAGACCACGGTGGAGTCTCAATTCCCTTCTCTGAGCCTGTTTTCTCATCTGGAAAACGCAGATGCCATCGTGTCTCCGGATGGGGCTGTTTGCAAATTAAATGAGATCTGCGGCGCGGGGCCAAGCCCACTATAGGGCACGATTAGCTGCAGCTGTCATTTCGTTATTATCTGGGTTTCAAACTGGGAGGCCTTGAGGGAAGCTGTACTCTAGACCAGCGTGTGTAATCCGAGTGCTTGTCCCATCTGGACCCAAGGGCCTTTGCTGAGTGGCCCCGGGTCCCTTCCTCACAGTCTCTGGGCCCCCGTCCGGGGCCCTCCCAGCCCAGCTCTGGGGACCTGTACCTGGCACTCCATGATCTCCCCGGGCAGCCTCTGCTCATCACCACACACCCAAGCCAGGACCGAGGTTTGCAGCCACCAGAGCAGCCGATGCCGGGGACTTCCCCAGGCTTTGCTCAGGTGCTCGTTTTGCATCCGTGCTTAGGACCTGGCTTCTCATCCCTCGCCCCTGTCCCCAGTCCAACACCTCCTCTTTCCTGACTTGGCCTGGCCCCCAGCCTCCAGGCCTTTGCCCCTGCAGGGCCTCCTACCCAGGAAGGCTCTCTGCCCTCCCCCGAAAGGGAGGAAAGGAAGCAGAGATGCCGGGTGGACACAGTGGCTTGTATGACAGCACACAGGGACTCCCCTGCAGAAGCCACCAGCCCACAGCTGTCATGCCTGCCTCACACCAGCCGCCCTGATTCCTCTGTGTCCAAAGGAGGTGGTCTGGGGTTTTGTCAGGGCTGCACGGTGTTTGTTTTCAAGGACAGTTTTGCGGTTTCCCCAGGGTTAGACGGGAGACTGTGAATAGGCCCGGAACATGCCAGATTTTGCACTTTCAAGCAGTCCCTGTGCGAGTCGAGGCTTCTCTTCCTGCAGCTGGGCGCTAAAGCACGGACACGTGCTGGGCCAGCATTCTCGCACACCCCACGGGTGTTTCCTCTCATCCCCTCCCTCACTCTACCCTGAGGAAGACCGAGGCTCCATGTGAAGCCACCTGGCCCAGACCGCACAGTGAGCCTTCAGGGACCACGATGCCCAGCCCCGAGCCGCTCTTGGCAACCAGGGTCTGCAGAAGTGTGTGTGGTGAGGGGGGCACCATGTTGAAAACAGAGCCCACTGTTCGGCAGGGTGACTGTGACTCCTGTAGGTATGGGGGAGGGGGGGCCTTGGGCTGCCACATGGCATGGTCATCTGCCTGGTTCTCGAGGGGGGACACCCCTGGGGATCGTGATTTCCTCTGAGGGGCAGGGGTGAGGCCTTACCCATCCACACCTCTCCGAAGCAGCCCTGACCCAGCTTGACCTCCAGCCGCAGGGACTCCCGGGGTATCTCCCAGGCATCCTTGGCCAGGCCCTGAGTCTGCGGCTTGGACGTGGGGCACACGGTGGTGAGGCGGTGGCAGAGGCCATCGGCATGTTCTGAAGACAGAGGCAGGGAGGTAGGTTCAGTGGGGTGTCTGCCCTGAGGCCACCCTGTCCCAGGGTGTCTGTGTGTAGACATACACGTGGCATGTATGCACATGGGCTTCGGGCACACACAGGATGCCCTCGAGGCCAGGCATCCACACCTGCGTGTTACACGCCCTCACCCCATGTAGGCCCGCACTGCCTCAGGCATCTGCTCGCCAGGTTATTCACTCGGTCATTCATCAGACTTTAAAGGGCAGCCATCTAGGTGAGTCCCAAGGATGCAGTGGGGGACAAGTCCAGTGGAATGCTGCCCTCAGGGAGCTCGCAGTGCAGGGGGACCCCAACTTCCCTTAATCACCTCCCAGGACCACCAGCGGGGACAGAGGGGAGCAGTGTGTGCAAAAGCAGGTGGGCTGGATGGAGTCTTGGAAGGCTTCTCAGAGGAAGTGGTGCCTGAGCTTGGATCTGCAGGAGAGTGAGCGGTGGACTAGGACCACTTTGCATGTGCAAAGGCCCTGAGAGAGGAAGAAGCCTCAGGGTTGTAGGAAATGAAAGGAAGCCAGAGGGGCTGCAGGGGAATGAATGGGAACAGGGGGCCCCAGGTGAGGCAGGGAGGCCAGCAAGGTTGAGAGCAGCCAAGGCCTCAGAGGCCATGCAGGGATCTTTATCCTGAGATTCCAAGGCAATCTCTGGAGGGTTTTAACGTGGGGGGATCGGTGCTCAGAAGGAACCCTACACTGGTGGCCAAGGGGTCAGAGGGTGTCAGGAGGCCCAGCTGACAGAGAAGGGGGTGGCAGGGGACGGGGAGTTGCTGGCACTCTCAAGACAGGCCACACCTGCACACAGACGCCACGGCCATGGCCACATGCACACAGGCACCCACAGACCTGCCCCCACGCGCAGACCCCAGTGCCCCCCGGGTCTGCCCTGAAGTGTCCGGATAACACCCACACGCCCACACCCGCACACACGCCCACGTCCTGAGCCCCTGTGTGTACCGGAGCCCTTGCCCTCGCTCCCTCTGCCTGCAGCTCTCTCTCCCTCTGCTGCAGCCGGTGTAGCCGCCCCCTCCTCTCCCGCGACCGCGACCGGTCCAGACCGGTCCTAGGGCTGCAGAAACAAATGACACCGGCCTAAGCCCCCTCCCTTCTCTGCTCCCCTCCAGGCGGCCGGCCGGGCTGCTGAGCTGGAGAAAGAGGAGGGTGGGCATGGTAGGGGGAGGGGCCGGGGAGGAACGAGGAGGAAAAAGAGGGGGAGGGAGGAGGGGAGGGGGAAGAAAGAAGAAAGGAAGGAGGGGCAGGACGAAGAAGGAGGGAGGGGGGCAAGACCCCACACTCTGGGGATAACAGAAGCCCTAGCCCTTGTTGGCCCCAAAGCCCCAGGGATCCTCGGAGGAGGGCTGCCCCCCACCCCCGCTGGGGCTCTGCCCCCCTCCCCGCAGCACTCTGCCCCGCCCTCACTGGAGTAGTAGGCCACCAGCTGCTGCAGACTGTTGAACTGGGTGCGGGAGGTGATGTAGAAGCCACCGCTGTCCAGCTTGCGGATCTTGTAGTGCTTCACATTGAGGCCCTTGGCGTTGTCGAAGTCGGACACGGAGAGGCAGTAGGCGCCTGCAAGGCAGGGTCAGAGAGGCGCCGTGACCCCGTGCCCAGCACACCCTGCCCCCCGGGCCGCAGCACTAAGTGCGGTTCTGTGCCCGCCCGACACAGAAGACAGGGAGGCCAGAGCCGCAGCCCCAGCCCCGGCATGGCCAGGCCCCGTCTGCCCTGCCTCTGAGCACCCAGCCCCTGCGCAGCCACCAAGGCAGGCCCAGTGAGCAAAGGGGCACCTGGTCAGAGAACCTCCACATGCCCCCTTGGCCCTGGCAAGTCCTCCCAGGCCTGAGTGTGTATCCCAACCATGTGACCTGGACAAATGAGTCGCTTGCCCTCTCGGGGCCTCAGTTTCTTCATCCGTACAATGGGGCTACTCCCAGGGATGCTGGGAAGATTGGAGACCACATATAAGAGGGCCTGGCACATAGTAGGTGCTCAGTGAATGTTTGCTAGGAGCCAGGAATGGCCCTTGTGGCTGTGTGTCCCTGGCTTAACTGCTTCCCCTCTCATAAGAGCACTGTCTGTGCCCCACACCTTCCTGAAGTCTCCACGCGCAGGCAGGGGCGGGTGGTTGGCTAAGGTTGCAGCAGTCATGGGCAGGAGGCCAGGTGCTGGGTGTGGCCTCCAGGCTGCCAAGGCTAAGATGGGCCAGCCCTGGTGGCCTCCTCCCTGCCTCTCTTGAGCCTGGAAAAGATTTGGCTGGAAACATTTCCTCCTAACAGGCCTGGCCAGGAGCCTTTGTTAACCTGAGCCCAGGAGAGGCCTGGGGTAGAGGCTCCAGCAGCCAGAGAAGGCCCTTTTCAGAAGGCAGGGTGCAAGCATCAGGCTAGAACCCCAGCACCCACAGCCCCTGGGCCCTCTGGATAGTCCTGAGGTGGGGGTTACAAACTCCAGTGCCAAGAAGGGGAAAACAAGGCCCAGAGAGGGAAAGCAGCTGGCCTCCGGTCACCCAGCAAGTCAGGCACACAGGACTGTGACCAGGCCTCTAACGCCTGCATTGGGCGAGCATGACTAACAGATGGCCCAGGCCACGTTCATGTGGAAGCCAGTGGCCTGAGCCGAAAGCCAGCCCTGACCACAAGCACGCACATGCAGGCATGGCCATCAGGCCCCCCAGGCCCAAAGGCAATCCTACAACTACCCGCTCCCACCAGCAAGAACCAGACACTTCCACCCCCACGGGCACACACACATGCCTGGACCCACGTGTGGTGTGCACGGCCACACGACTGCCATAAATGCACACACGTGACACGGATGCTCCGCTTCCCATCTCCCGCTGAGCCCCAGGCCCACAGGACGCAGCCCAGCTCCGTTTCCATGGTGATGGATGGCCTGCGACCCACTAGCAGGGGGACTAGAGAGAAAGGCGGGGGTCTGTATTCTCTGGCTGGGGGAGGCACAAACGAGGACAGGGGTCTGGATTGCTGGGGAAGGGCAGCTCTAGAAGCCCCTGGAGACGGAGAAGAGGGGCCTGCTTCATCAGCACCCACCCTGGGAAGCAGTCTTCTGTTGTGTGACCCTCAGGCCTCCTGACAGCCTGTGCCCATACCTCATCTGAGGAAACTGAGGCCAGAGAGGCTGGGTGTCATCTTTTGCTGCATCTCTGGGCCCCAGAGATGAACAGTGTTCAACCCCAGACAACTCAGTGTTCCTCAAATATACCTCCTGCCTTTGATCTTAGCACTTTCTCCACCCTGGAGGGCCCTTCCCACCCCTCTCCAGGTACCAAACTCCTATTCGTTCTACAACACCCAGCTCAAACAAGGCACAAAAGACTCAGTCCCCACTGGCCAGCAGGAGTGCTCCTACCTTTCGTGGTCTCACTTTCTCGCACTAGGAAGGTCCCTCTCGGGTTTTCCGCGTTGAGCAGTAACCGCTCTGACTCCCGTCTGGTGATCTTGCCAAAGTACCACCTGGGACAGGAGGAAGGAGGGTGGGGTCAGTGATTCAGGCGTCTGTCCACCCAGAGCACCTCCCTCTAGGACGCGGCCAGGACCCTTGGCAGCCAGACCACCCACTCCAGCCCGGCGGAGAAGCCCCCGACCAGCTCCGGGCAGGCAGGGCACCAGAGTGCGTACTCACTCCTCGGCCTGGATTGAGTCGGAGGGCGCCACGTAGTTGCTGGGGATGTAGCCCGTCTGTCCTGTGCTGAGCGAGTGGGCCAGCCACCAGTCACCCTCTCTAAGGAGGGGAGGGGAAGGAGCAAGAGAGAAGGAGCCGTCAGTGGTGGCCCCGATGCTGCCGTCCTCGCAGGTGCTGTGCTGCGGTCCCCAAGGCCAAGGGAGGCGCCGGCAGCCACGGGACCAGCCTGGTTACCGTGCTGCCAGGCCAAGCCGGCCCAGAATTCTCTCTCCCCAGCCCAGATGCCTCTTGGCCCGAGCTGACTCAGATGCACATCATCCAGGACTGAGAGGACTGACCTTGGTCAGCCTGAGGCCCAAATACACCGGGGCAGAGTCCTGGGATAGCAAGTAATCTGCTTCCCTTCCTACAGACAAAGCCATCTCAAGGTGCCAAGGGCTGTCTCGGGAACGAGGGAGGGAGCTCCCCATCTTTGGGAAGCAAGCAAGTTGTACCAGGAGAGATGATCCCTGCCTCAGATAGATGCCAGATCAGATCATCAAAGCCATCCCAAAGCCCTGAGATTTGGAAGCTGGTGAGACCAGGGTGGAGGTAGGGGGTGGCCCCCTTTGGGGGTTTGGTGACAATCCAGGCACTAACCCTGCAAACTAGAGCAATGCTTGCCTTTGTCACCTATCACTGCTCATACTTAAGGGGCTCCTTGGCTGAAAACTATGGGTCTCCTCCTGCAGCCTACCCATCTACGGGGGAAACTGAGGCCAGAGGGGGCTGGGACTTGCCCAGAGTCACACAGAGTCATGTCAGAGGGGCTGAGGTGGCAGAGCCCCGGTGCCCAGGGCACTTCTACACTAACTGCCCATGAGGAGGAGATGGGGACAGGGACACAGGAGCTCCCTGCACGGTCGGGTCCCCTGGGCCTGGGTGGGAGCGGGGAGGGGGCGAAGTACCTTTGCAGCCATCTGAATGTGAACCAGGTCTGGCTGGAGCGGGGGTCCAGAGACACAGAGGAGAGAGGAGAAAGCGAGAGCCCAACAGGAAAGAAGAGGCAGAGATGGGGGTGGTGAGAGAGAGAGGCAGAAAGAGCGAGGAAGAGAGCAGGAGAGCAGGCGGTGCAGGGGTCCAGGGACAAGGCGGGGCAGCCACAGAGGCCTCACATCCAAAGCAACCAAAGGAGATGGGGAGGGGTCCGGGGGAGTGAGGGGAGGCCAGTGGGAAAGGCTGCCTGAGAAATAGGGTCCAGCCCCCTTCCATTCCCACCATACAGAGGGAAACACAGGCCAGAGAAGCAAAGGCCTCTGCTCAAGGTCACACAGCCAGGCCCAGGCTCCGGACTCCCAGACCAGAAGGAATCTTCCCCTACAGGGTACGGGGGTGCTCAAGAGCTTGCTGAGCTTCTCTCTCCAAGGCTGCCTTTGGACCTCACCATGACCATGACCCTTAGAAGACACACAGTAAGCAGGGTGGGCTCCCCCTTCCTCATTGCCAGGGCCCAGAGGAAAAGGCCTTGCTCACAGTTGCACAGTATGGACTTGAACCCAGATCGCTGGCTCCTACTTCTTCTGAGCTGCCTCTGACCCATATTCTTCAGCCCATTTTGAAGATAGAGAAGTTGAGGTGAGGAAAAGGCAGCCTCGAGAGCTCTCCAAAGACTGGTCAGAATACAGGTGAGCACCCAGACCTGTGGGCTCAGTGGGGGGGTCGAGGCTGAACCAGAGAGGGTACAGGGTACCCTCTGGACAGCAAAGGGAGCGTGACTGGGCTGTGAGGGCCAATTCAGCCGTGCGATTGCTGCACGGACACTCAGGCAGAGGCACCAGCTCACATGGTAGCCTCGGCTAGAGAGGGAGGGCTCGGGAGGAAGGGGGCAAGGCAAAGCTCAAGGAAAGCCCTTGGAAGCCTAGGGCCATCGTCCATCTCCTTGTTGTGCTAACACCCAGGGGTGTCCACATTTGTCCGTCCCATTTGATCTTCAAGGCCACCCTGCAGGGAAGGCAAGCCTCAGCCCCCAGATGAGGAAACTGTGCCTCAGAGATGTCAAGGGAGCAGCCCAAGGCCACATAGCACCCAGGCTGGAGTAACCTAGCACTTTCTCAGTAGGGAAACTGAGGCATAGAGATGGGCAGAGGCTTGCCCAAAGCTACAGACCAAGAACTCAAGGCACAGGGAACAGCTGAGACCTTCCAGTCAAAGTCTCCATTTCACCAAGGGGAAAATAAGGTACAGAGAGGGGCAGTTATTTGCCAAAAGACACACAGCAAATCAACGGCAGGGCAAGGCTGAGAACCAGGGCCTGAGTGTCCACAGCCAGACACAGAAGGCCCTCCTGGGCCCCTGCAGCGTCCCCAGGCCACTTCCAAGGCTCAAGGGCCCTTGGGAAAGCCAGGGGAAGATAGAGGAGGAGGCAGCAGGGCAGGGGTCAGGGAGCAGGGCCGAGGTCTAAGTCAGAGGATACAAAATGAGACAGATTGACAAAGCCGAAGCCTGCAGACTGGCCAGCCTCTAGGGAGCCCCTAACCATGCAGTCAGAGTGGGAGGCTGGCAAGGAGCCTGTGCCCAGAGGCCAGCCGGGCAGGGCCCCAGAATCAAGGCAGGGGAGGCCTTCCTGCTGGTACCCAGACGTCAGCCAGTAGACCCCCCAGCTCCCTGACGTCAGCCCCCATGTGAGTTTGAGATTTCAAGTCCAGGTCTGGGGCTTTATTTAGTTCCCAAGAAAGGGATGAGGGCCAGCATAATCTCACAATGGACCCAAGGTCCAACTCTGACCTGGTCCCAGCTTGATAGGCATCTCAGAGCTGGAGTTCCGGGTCAGACCACTCTGGGAACCATCCGGCTCATCACTTGCAGGCTATGTGACCTTGACCTTCCCTTGGTTTTCCTCATCTGGAGGATGGGGATACTCATGCCTCCACCCAAGGATGTAAAATACCAGCGCAGGGCCTGCCACATAATAGGGGCTCAGTGTACCTGAGCTGTTAGTTATCTTGATTTGGCTTAAAAAGGAAAAACAATTAAACCTGTATCTCTATGGCACCCCTCCCCACAATCCAAAATGTTGTTTTTTTTTTTAAACCAAAGCAGCTAAACAAATTGATTAAATAAAATAAAAACAAAAACCAAAGCCGCTCAGTCTCTGTCTCCAGTAAGGATTTGCTGTGTGACTTTGGGCAAGCACCCTACCTTCTCTGAGTCTTAATTTCCTCACATAAGCAAACAAAATAAAACTTTCCTCATCCCTTATAGTCACAGAATCTCCCTTGCAAGCAAAGTGTATAAAACAGTCAGCAAGAAGCCCAGCTTAGGGTCAGTCGAGGTCATTACCGTGACTATCATCCAGGTCCACCTGTGAAATGGAGAGATTAGCCCCACCTCCCTGCATCAGTGGTCTCGGAGGCTCAAACCTGCCTTGGGGAGCTGCCAAGGGCGGGGGCTGGTCCCACATGAGGGTCCCCACGGCTTCTCAGGTGGGTCCAGTCAGCAGGGACACTAACCTACACCCAGACTTGATTTACTACGTCCAGCACCTTCCCTGGGGGCATGGGCCTTATCAGGACAGGAAGAAGGAAAGGAGGCAGCTACATACGTTCCCTGCCCCAGCCCTCATCTTCCCACGTGTGGCCAGAGGAAAAGCACTGGACCAGGAAGGAATCCTCCAGCTACGATTTTACATCCCAACTGCTATTCACTAGCTGTGTGACCTCGGACAACTGACCTGGCCTCTCTGAGCCTCAGGATCTTCTTCTTAGGACCCTAAGCCTTGAGCTGGCCAAGGTGGCATGTGATCAGGAGTATGGCAGCCTCAACCTGGGAGGTTACTTTGGTTTGGGCACTTACATTAAACTCACTGGGGTCCTCAGGACTGGTCAGATAAGCACTCTGGGGACAAGTCAGGGCACCCTGAGGCCTGGGCACATGCTCAGTGGGGGCAGGGTGAGGCCAGAGCAGGCTGTGTGAGGAGCACCCAGAGATGGCCCATGTTAGAGAGTGGAAGTGTAGTGTCCGGAGTGAGGGGCAGGCATCAGTGCCTGCTGGAGGGCTCCCCCAAAGAAGCTGCTGGAATCTGGCTGGGAGGAAGGGGCAGTTCAGGGGATGACCCAGAGTCAGACTCAGAAGGGCCCCGACTCTTACAGACCCAGACTCTAGGGCTGAGGACTTGGGAGGGTCAGACCTCAGTCCCCACTGGGCTTCCTCAGACCCAGGGCCACACGGCACACGGGATTCTGGGACCCAAGGGCCATGTGGCCTGCAGATCACCAGGCCCTGCTGCTGTGAGGACCCCGACCCAGCAAGCCCTGGCCAAACCCTGTCAGGAGCTGGGCTGGCCCTGAAGCTCTCCCCCTCCCTGACACCCAGCCCAGCCCAGCCCGGCCCCAGGAAGTCCCTCACTCTTACAGGGGCCTGTGGAGGGGGTGGGAGGAGTGAATAATCCATAATGGGGGAAGGACACGCAAGGCCGTCCCTGGGTGGCTGTGACACCTGAACACCTCACATTTAGGTGGCCCATCTGTCACTAAGCCCCCCACCCCCTTATCCCTCCCCTTCCTCTGGTACCAGCCCCCAATTCCACGGCCACCTGACTTCTCAGGCAAAGGGGTGGCTGAGCGTCACGATGGGGGAAGGGTTCCTGGTGCCCCACCTCCAGTCAAGGCGCCTCACTGCTCTCCAAGGGCTTCCCACGGACAGGCCTGGCCCGACACCCCCTGCCCATCCTAAAAGGCAGGAAGAAGGGAGGGGAGGGGCCGGACAAAGGAAAGGGTGAGGGCCGCCCTCTGGCTGTAGGTGAAAGAGATAGAACCAAAGTTTCCAGAGCCTTCCCTGCCACCACACCTCGGCTCAGGCTGCGGCCCTGGCCTGGGTGCCCTTCCCATCACTGGTTGAGATTCTCCCTGGAACTTCTAAGCCACCGATCTGATGCGTCCCCCTCTGCACGGGCCCTTCCCTCCTCCTGGCTGGCGTGCACCTCTTCCGAGCCCTCCTGCAAGGGCCGTGGGTAGGAGGGCCTGCCCACCCCCCAGCTCTGCCACCGCTGGCTGTGTGACCTGGGGCGAGTCACTCTACCTCTCGGGGCCTCAGTTTCCTCACGTGCAAATAAAGCAAAGAAGAGTTTCTACTTCCCAGGGCTGTGGTGACATGTCAATAAAACAACGCCACTTAAAGGGCTCCCGCAAGACCAGGCTCGCACACAGAGCACGGTGGACGGTCAGCTTGCCTGGTGACACCAGCACAGCACCCCCACCATGCCGACGGGGATCCGCACAAGTGGCAGACCTGAGAGCAGGTCTGGTCTGGGGGAGGCAGCAGCAAAGGGCTGAAACCATACGGGGATGGGCTCGGACACGCAAGGGCTGGAAAGGGGGGAGAGCCCCCTCCACCCCCAGGGAGAGAGGCTGGGGGAGGGGAGAGAGCCACTGCCCGAGTTCCGATCCTGGCTTTGCTACCTGGTAGCTGTGTGACCTTGGTCAAGAGCCTTCACATCCCTGAGCCTCAGTTTCCTCATTTGCGAAATGGAGACAGCCCCTCCCCCGTCACTACAGCCCTGGCAGGATTGCATCGAGGAGTAAATACAAGGACCTGGGGAAAAAACGCCTGGCACAGCACCTGGCCCCTCTTGTCCTTCGTGCCTCACAGAGAAGGCAGGCCTGAGCTGGATCTTGAAGGATGAATAGGAGTTTGCCAGGCAGAGACGGGAGAAGGGTGTTTCAGGCAGAGGGAACAGCATGCACAGGGGTCGGGAGGCACCAACAAGCAGGACGCTCCTGGAGATGGTGACGTCCCACCTCCTTAGCCAGGCCTTTGAAGCCGCTCAGGGACCAATTCTACTCTATCTTCCGGCACCTTCTTGCCTCCTCCCAGCCCTGAGAGCGTCCAGCCCCCTCCAGCCCTGCAGCCTTCCATCAGCCGCCCCTCTGAGAGCGCCTGCCTTCCGCCACCTCCGCCTGCTACAAAGCATCACTGTTCCTCCCTGGAGGACCTGCCTGAACCTTCCAGTCCCTGCAGCCACCACCAGAGGGGAGCACACCGCAGGGACCAAATGCCTGAGCGGACCCTGCCTGTCACTTGGCCTGGACTGCAGTTGTCCCCCCCCCACCCCCCACCCCCGGCCACACTGGCTCCAGGAAGGTCCTTCTCCACCCAGGCCTCACCGGGTGCAGCCAGCACTCAATGTGTGCTGACCGGTCAGGACGGAGGGCAGGCAGGTTGGCAAGAAGGTGGATGGGGAGGAGGCACGGCGCTGAGTGCGAGCGGGAGGGTAGGACCCTCCCCGGTCTCAGCCCAGGGTTAAGGTCAGGACCTGGTCATGCTGGTTGGGGGAAGGGCATAGGCTGGGTAGGCTGGCGTGGGGGGGGCGGGGGGACAGCCAAGGGAGCCAAAGACCACAGGCAGGGAGGTGCAGAGGAAGCACATGCAGGCGCAGCCCCACTCCCTCAAGCAGCCACGCGCCGCCCACCCAGCCCGCCGCCTAAGCAGTGAGTACACACCTGACATCCACCTTCCTCCTAAGGGCCAGCGAGAGAGAAGCAGAGAGAGGGAGAGCTGAGAGAGTGCTGGAGGGGGCAAGCTGAGCCAGGAATGGGGGGGGGGGGGTTCAACTGAGGATGGGGGTACAGCAGGCCTTGTCAAGGGCAGGAGTGCAGCAGGTGCTGAGCTCTGCCCCGCCCTTGAAGCTCCCCACCCTTCACCCCTGGGCATATGGCCCAAAGCCTGCACCCACCCCCGGTGTGCTCCTGACAGGGGAGGGAGAGCAGAAAAGAGGAGAAGGGCCCCCACCTCATGGTTAGAGCCCCTCCTACCCCTAGTTCATTCCCCGCCTGCTCCTGTTCTCCTGCCCACAGGGGCCCCAGAGCCAGCTTGGCCCTAGGACGCCCCACTCCCAGGCTGGGGTCTCCAGAGATGAACCAGACATCCACCCCCCATCTCCAGTCTCATCCCACGCCCAGCCACAGGCCCCTCACACTGAGTGCCCAGTACGGGTCCCCCGCCTCTCCCAGTTCGGGCCCCACCCCCTGCAGCTAGACATTCTGGCTCAGCCAGCTGCCCCCGGCCCTCAAGCCCCAGGCTCCTAAGGAGGGCACCCCGTTTTCTGCAGTCCCAGGTCATGCCCTGACCACATGCCCCTCTGGGAGGAGTTACTCAGCCCAGATCCCTGCCCTGGGAGCCCTCCCAGAGCCCTGGGCAGCACTGCCTGTCTCATCTCCCATAGCCCCAGGAGAGTTCCCCGGACCTCGGCCGGCCTTGACACTAGCCTTGCCTGCTGCCCATCGCACTGCCCCTGGCTCTGGGGTGCTCAGAAGTGGCTCTGGCCCAAGACCAAGTCCCAGGGATGGGGCCCCAAGGGATGATGGGGAAGGGGGTCACTCACGTGTTGTTGACAATCTGGAGCCGCTCCCCTTTCTTGAAGGACAGGTCAGTCTCTGTCCGAGACTCATAGTCATAGAGGGCCACAAAGGTGGTCACTCCACCTGCAGAGAGGGGTGGGGCGTGTCACAATGGCCAGGGCCGCAGCCTGAAAAGGGGGTGCACAGGATGGCCCTGGGCGGGATGGGGGAGGGTTTCTCACGACCATCACAGCCCAGCCCGGAGATGTGGCCACCTTTAGAGGGGGTGACCCGCAGCGTGTCCCTGGTGTGTGTGTGTCAGGGAGCCCTGTGAGGGTGTGTGGGAGGCATGTGCATCTCTCCACATAGGAACATGCCCGCCGGGCTCTGGCTGGCTCTGAGTGCTGGCTTCTGTCCAGTGCCCGTCCTCCCTGCAGCCCAGAGGCCCCCAGGCATCTCCGTGTTCTTCCCAGAGCCTGGCACACAGTAGGTGCTCAAGAAGCAACTGCAGGTGAATGAACCAGCAAATGAAGGAAACTGCACCCAGCTGGGTTGCCCGGCTTCCTCTGTGTGTGATTCTCGGTGCTTCTACGTGTCTGGGGAGATCTCGGCTCCAGGTAGTGTCCGTCCCCTCAAAGAGGTCCTCTCTGTCCCCCGTTTTAACCACAACCTTCACCCCACACCCGCCCCAAGAGCCCCTGCCTGCCCTTTCTGTTCCTTCTCAGTGGCACCACCTTCGAACATGCTCCCCAGTCGACACGCCTTGCTCTGTCTTTCCCCCCATCGGGGTTTGTCTCTTCTATGTACTGTTGTGTCCCCAGCACCCGAAGAGTCCAGCCCACAGGAGGGACACCACAGACGAACGGGTGCTTTCGCGGGCCTGTTTGCGTCACTCGGGCACGTGCCTGAGGCACCCGTGAGCGTCCCCGTGTGTGTTTGCCCTCACCACATGCATGTGCCTCTGTGCGCCTGTGGGCATCCGTGATGGTGTTCAGAGCCGAGCACGTGTGTGTGTCCTGTGTGCGGCCTTGAGGGGCTTCTGACTGCACGTGTGTGTGTCCTAATCCGGGATGCTGAGGTTATTTGTGCATGTGTGTTTCTATTTGTGCACATCTGTGTTAGGTGTGTATCTGTGCACGTCCACGTGTCCTTAAGTGTGTCTCTATATGCACGGTACTTTCGAGTATCTCTGATGGTGTTTCCAGCTCAGCTTGTTAAAGTGTCTGCACAGATATATTAGGAGTGAGCTGCTGACTGTACGTCGTCCTGAGCATGTCGAGGTAAGAATGCAGGGGTTTACGTGTCTTTTGGGGGGTGGGGGACGGTAGGGGAACCACACAGGCATCTCTCTCTAAGCACCCTTTGCCCGGAGCTGCCATACCCCCAAGATGCCAGCAGAGGGCGCAGGGGCGCATCTCAGCGCTGGGCAGGCCGCCTGAGGACCAGAGCTCCCTTTCTCCCTCCTAACCTGCCCTGCCCGCTCTGCCACCCAAGGCCTCCTGTCCTGACCCGTCTCTGGGCTGACCAGAGCCAAAAACAGCCGCAGATCTGGTCCCTGTACTGCCCTAAGCAAACAGCGCCCTGGCTCTCTGGGCCTCAGTTCCCTGCTACGGTCAGTCGCGTATCTCCGGACGCCTTTACACTCTGCATTGGATTCACCCTCAAAGGCAAGGGGATGTGCACCACACTTTCCAGTTTACAAAGCTTTTCCCCACCCACAGCCTCCAGGAAACTCCCAACTGTCCCCAAACCCAAGACACCTACAGCCTCTGTCCCTGCCCCTTCAGGCACCCACACTCCCAGGCCCACTGACCAGCCAGTGGCCCCGCCCTCTGCGGGGAGGTGACTGTGTCCGAGGAGTTGAAGCCCCCGAACAGCTTGGGCTCGGCAGCTGCGGAGGGGAAGGCCGTACTGGCGCCCCGGTGGCCATCAGCGGAGGCTGGTTTGCTGGGTGTCTGCGAGGCGGGGAAGGCACCCCCACCACCACCGTGGCTGTTCTCAGCGGGCTCCAGGCTGCGGCGCCGTTGGCTGGCATCCTTGGGCTTGCTCTTGTTGCTGCCCATGGTCCTGGCTGGAGATGAGAAAGCACCCTGGGAGTGAAGGACTCTGGGGCCAGGCAGGGCTGCTGGGCCGGGGCCCTTTAGACAGCATCTGGCCCCACCCATTCTACAGATGAGGAAACTGAGGCCCAAAGAAGGGTACTAGCCTCTTTGGGTAAGTTAGACTTTCAGAGCCTCAGTTTCTAAATCTGTAAAATGGGAATAATGACAACCCTTAAGCAGCTTCCTTGGTACGGGGCCAAGCGCAGAAGCAATGACTCATAATCAGAAGCCCTAACCTCCCCCCACCTTCCCCTGAGTCAGTTTCTGTCTGTCATGGGCAGGGACAGTATCTGAGTCATGTCTATATCCCAGGCACGCAGCACATAGGAGAAGGCTCACTGAGGGCTTGCTGACCAAATACATGACTGACTGAAATTGTCACCAAGGGGAAAGGTGCTGGGATATGCAACCAGGACAGCGATATAGCAGGAGGCTGAAAGGAGAGATGTCTGGGAGTTCACGCCAGCCACAAGGCCTTTGCACATGCTGTTCCCTCTGCCTGGATGCTCTTCCCTGACCACTTCACCAGAATAACTCAGGCCTCCTTCAGTCCTCAGCTTAAAAGTCGTCCCCTTGGGAAATTTTCCCCAAATCCTTTCTGGCCTGAGTCCTCCTGGATTTTTGTACCTCTCCTTGATAACATGTGGTCCAGAAAAGAAACAAGCTGAAAACCTCCCAGTGATGCCCACAGCCCTGTCACCCTCTTTTGCCTCCCACCTCCCAACAAACAGACCCTGGCTGGCCTCAGCTCCCAGCGAGCCTGGCCTTCCCCACCGTCGTGGCCACGCCTCCCTCCTCCCTCACCTTGGCAGCCTTGATGGGTCGTCACCTCACCTGGTGGAAGGCAGGGGCTGTCCCGGAGGATCTGGGAGGCAGCCTGAGGTCTCGGCAAGGACACCAGGGGTGGAGTCAGGGGTCCGGGACTGGAGGCTCTGCTCCACTTCTCCCCACTATGTGACCCTAGGCAACTCACTTCCCCTCTTCGGGCCTCGACGTCTTCATCTGCAAAACAGGGATGAAGAGACTTCTCAGGGCCATCGTGAGGGTATGATTAGAAAGAGACATCACCAAGGCTCTGACTCTTGGGTCACAACTGATCAGGCTCTGACTGAAAGTTCCAGTGCTCAGAGCTTCCCAGACCTGAAATATCCTCCAACCTTCGCAAAGCACTGTATGAGCAAAAGCAAGGCAGGGTATGGCACGGTGGGTAAGGGCGGGCTCTGGAGCCAGACTCCCCAGGCTCAGACCCCACTTTGCCCCTCATCAGCTGTGTGGCCTCAGGCAGGTGACTTAACCTCTCTGTGCCCTGTTTCCTCAACTGGAAATGAAGGGATCGCCCAGGACCATGGTACTGAATGAGGCAAGTACCCTCCTGCCGGGAGCGCAGCAGGTCACCTGTCCCATCAGCTTCTTGATACTGTGGGATTCTGGACATGCGGACAAGGCAGGCTCTGAATATTCTCCCCAGCGGGTGCCGAGGGCCCTGGAATCAGTCCAGAATGTGCTCTGGGAGCCCATGGAGGGGCAGAAGTGCTCTTGACTGGCTGAGGCCTTAGGTGAGACTGCTGGCCCTTAGCAGGCCCAGCTCTGAGAGCTCTCCCGGCCGTGTGAACCTCACTTGGCCAGTTCTTGCACCCCCCGGGCCTCAGGCTGACTGGCTGCACGAGGTGAGCACGGCCTACATGCTCCCCAGGGACCATCCAGCTCAGAGAATGGGGGGGGGGGGGGGGGCTGGGGAGGCCCCAAGGGATCAGCAGGGCCTCCTGAGGGACAGGCCATCAGGTCTATGGACAAAGAAGACCAATTTCTATGGCAACCCAGTCCACTGCGGTCACATCAGCACTCACAGAGCTGGTGTCCCGTGGGCCCTACTGACCCAGTTACCTGCAGCCCCCGGCTTGCTGGAGGCCCGGCCCTGCCCACTGCACTCCCTACCCAGTGGCTCGCTGATCCAGCATTCACGGCACTGAGTGCGCACTGGGAGCTAGGCCAGTCTGCAGAGAGACACAGAGATGAACTGGCCAGGCCTGGGGCCAGAGGACATTTGTCTGTGGGACCTTCAGAGGAAATACAAATTGTAAAAATACATTTTGAAATATAATTTAAAAAGATGTTTTAAATGGAGAACTTTCTAGGAGCCTGAACTTTCTTCAGAATGAACTAAATGGTGAAGGGTGAGCCCCCTGTCCCTGGAGGTAATCAAGGCCAGGAGAAAGAGTAAGTGGTCAGTGTGCTGTGGAGAAAGAGGGAGAGCCAGGCCTGGGCCAGGCCAGCACTCTCCTGGCACCAAGGAGACGCACGTACCCTCTTGGGCAGGTGCGGGGTGGGGGGACAAAGGCAGCCCCCGGCCCCAGTCCTCTCACACTGAGCAAGACCCCTCCTCCCGGGGCATCAGGAAAAGTACAAGAAGGCCTTCACGACCCAGCTAAGGTGGCCCGGCCTCCGCTTTCAGTGTTGGTTTGTGGAGTTTCTGTTCTGTTTGTTTTGCTGGTCTTTGTGGTTAAATCTGATTATACAAGTGACACGTGTTTGTGGGGAGGCAGGCGCGTGGAGGTTAAGAGCTAGAGCACCAGAGGGTTTGAATCCCGGCCCTGCCATCTCAGCAGGGGACCCAGGCCTCAGCTTCCTGCTCTGTTGGTGCGGGGTGACAGCAGCACCCACACGACAGGGCTCTGAGCGAGTCAGCGAGGACAGCACACGGCACGCGCTCAGGACAGGGCTGCTCACTGCCAGGCCCGCCGCTGGAAGACAACCACCCGGGCATCGTGCGAACGTACGGCCGTAAACAAACCGGGACCCATCTAGTGGCGTCGTCGAAGCTCCCTGCGGGCAGGGCTGGCTCGTATCCATCTCCACCTCCCCAGTGGCCAGGACAGGCCCGGTACCTACGAATTGTTCTGGAAATATTTGCAGAGTAGACAAAAGACCGAACGAACATACACAGGATTTGCATCCTGCTCTGTTCCTGTCTTGTCATGTTGTGAAAACCAAGTGTCACTTCCTGGATACTCAAAAACCCCCAGGGCCTGGGCCTTAGACACGTCCCGCTCCAAGCAGTTTGCAAATACTCGTTCGTCAAATCCTCATGATAATCTAGGAGGGTAGATACTCAGTTTCCCTATGTTACCGATGAGGAAACTGAGGCACAGAGAGGTTGAGGAACTTGTCTGAGGTTACACAGCGAGGGCGAGAGGGGACAGGGAACCACACTGGACAGGCAGGACGCAGGGGCTTGCCCATGGGATCTGCCGGGGGAACTGGGGGCCCTTCCTCCCTGCCCTCGGGACCTCTCCCACGTGGAACAGCCAGGTGCCCTTGGCGGACAGCGCATGAGCGGAGAAGGCAGCTCCCCTCCCAGAGAAAGCCAGGGGTTTCTGGCCTCGACAAAGCAGAATGTGCTCGAGGAAGGACAGGCACACTTAGGGTGGGGTCTAGTCCCCTGCAGGGCTGCTGCCACGCTGTGTGACCTCGGGAGACGGCACCCTCCCAGACCCCGGGCTCCTTTCTTGAGGCAGGACCCTGTCTCGGGGCCTTTTGGTTCTGGGGCCCAAACGCCAAGTCACCGTGAGTTGCCCATTTGAGAGGCGCCAACCCCACATCTCTTCCGCCATTTGCACACACTGAGATACAGATAGACCCCTGTGGGGCCGAGGGGAAGTGGTGAGGCCTCCGGACTGCGGGGGGCCTGAGGTTCCCAGAGGAAGGAGGCCCCTTTCCTCTGGGGAGCTGCCCCGCACCCCAGCCTTCCGACCGCAGCCTCCAGACTGAGGGCTTGTGCACAGGAGGTACCTGTGCACGGGAGGTACCTGTGCACGGGAGGTACCAGGAAGCAGGCCTGCGACGCACGCCCCTCACTGCCTCGGCTCTTCATGCCCCAGGGGCCCCGGGCCAACCTGGCATCTCCCCCAGGTTGCAGCCCCGGCCCTGTGTCACGAGTCACTGTGTCAGCGCTGGCTCTCCCACCTCCCCAGGTCATCCTCAAATGTGTCCCTCCCCCAACTCTGTCTCCGTCCCCTCAGCCGGGAGCCTGCCTGGGCCCGGATGCAGGAGCGTGGCCCTCCGTGCACCCTCCTCCCCGCAGCCAGAGGCATCCCTGGAAACCGCACCGACAGCGGGAGCCTCCTCTGCTGAGCACGCTCCGTGGAAACCTGGAAATGACTAGGTGCCCGTGAGAGAGGGGCTGCATAAATGATGGTCTGTTCCTGGAGGGGACGGCCGCGCCGCGAATCGGACAGAACGAGAGCTCGGTGTGGCCCGAGAAGATGCGCTGTGAAGAGAGGAGCTGCCAGTGCACAGGGGCCTCTGGGCCCCTCAGGGTCTCAGTCTCCTCAGCTGGAAAAAGAGGACGAGAATGCTGCCTCACTCGTGGGCTTAGGGAAGACTCAACGAGCCAGTGCTCCCCATGTGCACACAGCACCCGTGTGTATGGTGACTTCTCTAAAGGAAACCAGCGTGTGCGTGTGTAAGTGCGCCTATGAGAGCACGTGCTATAGAGCTGTAGAGAAAGTTCTGGAAGGATTCCAAATTCTTCACAGCGTTTCATCCAAAAGGTATGGGATGGGGAAGGAAAATCCCTGTTTTACTGTATGTATGTGCTGTATCACTTGACACTTAGAAATTACTTTGTCAAGGATGGTTTTTTAATGAAACCTAAAAAAACAAAACAAAACAAAAAACCCATGTAAGAGCTTCCCATCACTCCCCTCTGGATGAAGCCTAATCCCCACTTCTGGGCCCGCCAGGCCCTGCACAGTTGCCCTCTCCCATGGCCCCCCTGCTGGAGGGCACCACACTCTCCCTCCTCACCCCTCCCCAGGCACACAGACCCTTACAACATCCAGAAGAATCTGGGGAATCCTGGCATCTGGCTGCAGCAGACCCACCCCTTCATTCCCTACTCTGAAGAGCGTCACCTCCACGTACTCTAAGGGCAAAAGGAATCCAGGGGCCTAGGAGGTGAGAGTAAGGAACACAGTCAGGCCTGGGTTCAAATCCTGCCTCCAGTACTTACAAGCTAAATCTTCTTGGGCAAATCGTGTTGCCTCTCAGTTTCTTTAAAATGGGGATGATAATAAGCCTAAAATCTGAGAATTAAAGAGAGCCCATGTGCCAGGCACAGAATAAGTACTTGGCCAACAGCACCCCATGTCTTTTGCTGTCGTTATTATCATGACAAGGGCTAAGAGGAACGACGCAAGAGGAGGTGGGAGTTAGGTGGCCAGGCCTTGAATGCCACACACAGAGCTGAGAACTTCACAGGCCATGGATAGTCTGTTGTCCTGACAGCACAGTGACGTAGGGACTATAACTGGGCCTGCCTGACAGACAGAACCGAGGTTCAGGGAAGCCAAGCCTTGCCCGAGGCCACACAGCAAGTGAGGGCACCAGGGATGGGGCGCTCGCAGGTCTGGGCGAGTGGCCTCCAGGTGCACGTCTGGTGTACCGCCCTCTGTGCAGGCAGCGCCCACAGCCCCAGGCGCCCTCGCCACTCTGCCATCTCCGCCCCCCATGACACAGAGGCACCACAGGGGTTGGAGGTCCGCCTCTGATATCATCATAACTCTGGTCCCTCCAGGAAAGCAGAAGCATCACAAAAATAGAAGCCTGGAGCCAGAGCACTAGGATCAGATGCCGCCTCGCCGCTTCCTGGTCACGCCGCCTCAAGGGGGCCTCAGTCTACCCGTTATAAAAATGGGAATCTGCCTCATTGTTCCCACATAACTGGCCTTGTTGTGAGGAAACATGAGGTACTACTTACATAGTGCCTAGTAGATAGGAAGTGCTCAACAAATATCAGCTACCATCATCACTGCTCTGGAAAACCTTTCTTATACCCTGGCTCTCTTTTGTAATCACTGCTACAATGAGGCAAAGACTTCCCAGATTCCTACTATTGCCAAGCTCTGTGTATGGCCCTAGAGGGATGGCCTGGCGGAGTTCATTAGGAGCCCAGGCCTAGAAAAGCCACTTCACAGGGAAAGAGTCCAGAAAAGACAAGCGTG